AGAGGGAAAGGGGGGGGAGGGGGGGCGGTTACTGGAAAGGGACCTGGCCATAAGGGGTCTGCTTAGGGCCAGACAGTAGTGTGTGGGTTCTTCACTTCCTGCAGGAAAAAATTCACCACATGTTTACTAAAGCTGGGGACAGTGAAACAAGGAAGGGCCTAGGATAACAGGTGAGGTACTAAGTGGGGAAATGAGTCTAGGTTGGGCTGCTTTGGCTCACTAAGAAGTCAGAGAAAAGGAGGCCTTGGGGACAAGTTCAGAAGGTTTGGCCAGGATGAACTGCTGCTGCCCATTGCTGCCCTGGATGCAAACCTCCTGAGGTCCCTTAGAGTTTAGGAGATGCTTGCCTGTGGGGGGAGGAAGAAGGGAAGAGGGAGGGGAAAAGCGCCCAGTGAGAGCACACTGGGACCTTTGTTTTGAGGGTTTAGAAAGGCTGATATGCCAAATGAAATTCTCTCAACTTCATCTGTCCTTGGGTGTGGCTGGCAAGTGTCACTAATTGGATTTCTGTTATCTGTCTGCCTGAGTAGGGTGATTTAAGCTATTTACCCTCTGGTTGGGGAGTAGTGTAAACCATTTACTCTTAAGTGCCCTTGGTTTAGGGAAGATAAGACTTACTATGTGGTTGCAAACTGCTTGTTTAACTGTCTCAGTTTCTCTATTCCTCTTGTCCTGGCTCACTAGCCTGTCTCAGGGGGAGGTAGAAGAGAATAAAGGGGGGATAAGTGGTAACAGGAGACTTAACTTTGGATGGTGAACGCACAATACAATATATAGATGATATACACTTGAAATCTATATAATTTTATTAACCAATGTCACCCCAATAAATTCAATAAAAAAATAAAAATAAAAGGTAATTGTGATCATGTCCCTCATCTACTCAGAACCTTGTCATGGCTCCCCATTGCCCTCAGTGTAGAAGCCATACCCCTTTGCTGAAATGTAACCTCAGTGAGACTTTCCAGGACCCATCCTCATTTAAAATTGCAACCTGGTACACCCTTCTCCCCCTTCCCCTGCTTTCAGTCATCCCTTGGTATCCACGGGAGGTTGGTTCCAGGACCCCCACGTTTACCCAAATCCCTAGATGCTCAATTATTTTATGTAAAATGGTGTAGAACAATGATTACCATTGGCCCTCCACATCTGAAGATCCCCAATCCCAGGAGGCAGAATCCACTGATACAAAGGGTTGACTTTACTTTCCTTTTGTGCACATTTATTTTACCTTCTGACACAGTGTATAGGATACTCATGTATTATAAGTACTGCTTATTGTCTCTCAGTTGTTTTTATTTATCACAACTGTGCAACCAGTGCCTAGGACAGTGTCTGGCTAGGACAAATGGGTAGTTGCATAGCCTTAGGCAAACCATTTATCCTCTCTGCACCTCAGATCCTTCATCTGTGCTACTCTTTTTGCAGTCTCATTGTGAGGATTAAATCAGATCACGTGTAAAGCATCTGGCAGAGAATGTATCACCCTGTATTATAGCTATCAGGCTACCTTTCTGTCTCCCCCATTGGACTATATCTCCTAGAATGCAGGAATCGGATTTTATTCATCTCCAAAGGACAAGGGTTAGGAGCATGACTTCTGGAACTAGATTACATGGGTTTGAATGCTATCACTTACAAACTGTGTGACCATGGCCAAGTTGCCTAACCTCTCTATGCTTTAGTTTCATCACCTGTATAATGAAGAAAGAATAACAGCTGCATTAGAAAGCGCTTAAGACATTTCCTGGCATGTGGTACATGCCAGCTATACCTCTGCATCCTGGTGCCTGGCAGAGAGAGGTACAGCAAATTTTTATCAAGGGGCCTTCTTTCAGCTTGTTTCCAAGCTGGACAACATCTCACCAATTGCTGCCAAACACATTCTTACCCATGCAGAACTGGACTCTCGGTGATAACATTTCTTATTGCAACCCTGCTCAAGTTTCTTTTCATCTCCTATACTTTGAGGCCCTTGGGGAGGCCGTCACTCCCTCTAATATACATTAACCCGAGTAGGGTCTCTACTTGAACTAAGTATGGCTAATTTCTGATGTAAGGAGATATAGTATCCTATACCTGGGCCAAATGCAAACAACCTTAAGAAGCAAGTAACAACAATGCAAGATAAATAAATAGAGTACGTAAATTCCGGGTGGTTATGAGTGCTATGTATAAAAATGGAGTCAGGAAGGATATCGATAGTGCCGATGTAAGTAGAGGGCTTACCATGTAAATGTGGTCCATATTTGAGCTCATTGGGAAGGCAAGATTTGAGCCAAGACTTGAAGGAGATGTGGAAGTGGAAATGTGTGGAGATCTGGGGGAAAGGTGTTTCAGGGAGAGGAAATAGCGAGTGCTACGTTCTAGGCACAAGAGTTTGCTTTGTATTTTAAAAAAGAGCAAGGCAGCCAGTAGCCAGAGTGAGATGAGACCACGGAGTTCTGAAGAAGGAACATGCAGTTCATGGCAGAAGCTCTAAGCCCTGGTAGAGATGTAGGATCTTACTCTGAGGTCAGAAGCCAGTGGAGGGCTCTGAGGAAAGGAGCGACATGATCTGCTTTATAGTTTTAAAAAGTCATTTAGTGGTGGCTGTGTGAGGGGCGAGGATAGAAGTAGGGAAGCTATTAGGATACTGGTTACTCTTTTGTTTTTAATCCTCACCTGAGGATATTTTTTCCATTGCTTTTTCAGAGAGAGTGGAAGGGAGAGAGAGAGAAACATTGACCTGAGAGAGACACATCGACTGATTGCCTCCTGCACACGCCCCGACCAGGGCCTGGGGATGGAGCCTGCAACTGAGGTACGTGCCCTTGGCTGGAATTGAACCTGGGACCCTTCAGGCCGCAGGCGGACGCTCTAACCACTGAGCAAACCGGCTAGCCCGATACTGGTTACCCTTGCTTATGCAAGTGGATTCCAGAATCTGCTGCGGCTACTAAGGAAGAGGGTTGGTGTAGGCTAGGAAAATGAGTACAAATTAAAGCTCCTCTGCACCCGGACCTCCTCCTCCCTCCCTTTCCTTAAAGGTTCTGGTTAAAGCGGTGTTCTTGTACCCCGAATGCTGGACAAACGAATGCTGTGCCACCTCTCAGAGGTGAATGGGTTAAGCTTTAGCTCAGCCTCCCTTTTCCTATTTAGTTCTTCCTGTGGTTGCTTCACAGGGCTAAAAAGGAAGCAATTGTATCTCTTACTGCTTAGTGCTGCTGCTGTCACATCCAGCAGGTAAAGTTCCCTAAAATTCTCTGCAAAAATTTGGGGACTTCACTAAATCATAGAAAATTTACCTTTTTCTTCTTCGGAGCCAAAGGTATTTTAGAGAAGAATTAATCTTTCGTTTCTCCAGTTGAACATTTCCTAGCCGTAAGAGCCATGCAAATAGAGCTCTCCACCTGCTTCTTTCTGTGCCTTTTGCCGGTCAGCTTTAGTGCCACCAGAAGATACTACCTGGCCGCAGTTGAACTGTCCTGGGACTACATGCAAAGTGAACTGCTCAATGAGCTCCACGTGGATACAAGGTAAAGGCATATTCTATAGGGTCCAACTAGGATTGTGGGGATGTGATTGGTTGGAGGAAGGTGCAGATATCAGGTTAGAAAGGCTGCGATGCTAGATAAGCCCTGAAATAAGGCGAATTCTTTTCATAGATCTGACCTATTCGTTGGTATTTTGTTTTGTTTTGTCCATTGAATCTTATTGTCACATGCTGCCACTCTGGAAACTAGAGGATAGAGGGAGGGCCAAGAAGCAAGGACCATGAGAGAACATAGCTTCCATAAAGAGAAGCAGAGCAATGAGAGCCCATCAATATTACACACAAGTTTAGTCTCCGGTTCTGTTGTGTGTGCGTGTGGTGTGGTTTTTATCTCTTTGCCCAGTTTTGGTGTAAGAATAGCGTTAGCCGTGAGTTCAGAAGCTTTTCATCTTTTGGGGGTTCTGGTGCATTTTGGGAAAGTAGTATTAAATAACCTTTTCAATATTGTCTACGTTCATCGATTTATTCAGATTTTTCTACCTCTTCTTCAGTCATATTTGGTTATATATATTTTCCTGGAAAG